AGCTAACACCCACATATATGAGAACACATACCAAATCTGTCTTTTTGGTTTGGGTTACCCCACTTAGGATGATTTTTTTTCTAGGTACATCCATTTACCTGCAAATTCATGATTTTATTTTTTTACAACAGCTAAGTAATATTCCATTGTGTGAATGTACTACATTTTCATTATCCATTCATCTGCTTATGGTCATCTAGACTATTTCCAATTTCTGGCTATTATGAGCAGATAAAAATGTTTTACCTTCTCTTAGGAAATCCTGTATCTTAATGAACATGGATGATCAAATGTCTCTGTAGTAGGATGTAAAATCCTTTGGGTATATTCCCAAGAGTGGTATAGCTGGATTTATTTTCAGTTTCCCAAGGAACTACCACACTGATCTCCATAGTGACTGTAAAAGTATACATTTCTCTAGCAATGGATAAATGTTCCTCACATCCTTGCCACCATGAGTTTCCTTGATCTTGGCCATTTTGACTGTTGTAATAAGAAATCTCAGAATAGTTTTGATTTGTTTTTGCCTGAGGACTAAGGATGTTGAAAATTTCTGTGTTTCTAGACATTTATGTTTCATCTTTTTTTGTTATTGGATTTCTTTATGTCATTTAAAAAAGTTCTTTATGTATCTTAGGTATCAACTCTTTATCTCATGTGTAATAAGTAAAGGCCTTTCCATATTCTATAGACTGCTGTTTTGTCCAAATGATGGTGTTCTTTGCCATATAGAAACTTTTCAATGTCATGAGGTGTCATTTATTAATTTGAGTTCTTAGTGCCTGTGCTATTTGTGTCCTGTTTGGAAAGTCTTTTTTGTGCCTCTGAATTCAAGACTATTTCCCCCATTCTCTTCTATCAGACTCACATTGAGGTCCTTGATCCATTTGGAATTGAGTTTCATGTAGTAGGATAAATATGGAACTGTTTGAACTGCTGGAGGTATCACTATCCCAATCTCAAGTTGTACTACAAAATGATAGTAGTAAAAATAGCATAGTATTATCAATAAACAGACATGTTGATCAATAGAATTTAATTGAAGATCAAGACAGGAAAGACCACATGCCTATGGGTACCTGATATTGACAAAGAAACCAGAAATACACAATGGGAAAAAGACAGCATCTCCAATAAATGGTGCTGCTCACACTTGGTGACTGAATAGACCAGAGTTCAAATAGATCTAGAGGCCCAGTGAATCTTCTCATTTAGGATCTTTCTCTAAAGCTACTGAGCTTTTAATTCCTGAGGTTAGTGAGATTCTCTACAGGATGAAATGTTTCATCTTCTGCTAGAATATCCTGTGTCTTCACAAAATTCTCTACAGGATAGAATGCTTCATCTCAGAAAAAATCACTATACAACAAGTTATTGCATAAGGTTCCTTGGATTGCCTTGGGGACTCCACAAAGAAGGCCTGTGGCACAGGCTGGACTAGTGTGGAAGATAAGACATATTCTTGTTAGAACTCAGGGTATGACCAATCTTGAGATGCCATTAGGAGGAAGAGAAGACAGGTGTAGATTGAATTATAAAGACACCATTCAATCTTTTCTGAGCCTTTAAAGGGTTAACAATTCATGGAAAAGATACCAAACTAATGCTTAACAAGGGAAGTTTGTGTCTTTACATCCAATTCAACTCTTAATAAAATAAGATTGACATATTTAAACCAAGGAAATAGAAAGGGGACCATGAGATTGGATGAAGATATCACCAGGGAAAGTGTAAACAGAGAGGGTAATGGAATACATGTGATAGAAAGTTGAAGGAATAACTATATGGGGGATGGGAAAGAGCCATCTAGAAGGAGACAGGTGGCACAGGGCAGGTCAGTGGAGGAGGGGATTGACTGATGACAAACTATTATGACACACATGTATGAAAGTGCTGTAAGGAAACATGTTATTTTGTTTGCTAACCTAAAAAAGATTAATTTAAAATACTGTGATAAAATGTTTTTCTATAAAAGAGGAATATTGTAGCACGTTTCTTCTTCAGCTTAGCAGTCAGGTAGGTGGGAGTAGGCTGGGAAGTTGAGTGGTCTTCTCGTTTTGACTATTTAAATCAGAACTTCATTCTTCAGAATTCTCTACTTGGTATAGTTCTTGGTTAGCATGATCCACAAGAGGTACTTTGTGCAATATTTGTAAACTAGCAGTTATATTCTTGATTTTCTTGAAGGGTCATGAATACCCAAGGCCTTGGTGCAGCTTGCTGGTGGAGTCTAGCCACTTACTTGATTTGCTGATGTGGTGTGGTAGCCTGTAGGAATTTCAGTTCTTGTGACTTTCCACCTTCTCAAACCCAAGGCCTCCTTCATGTTTAACTCAGTGAAAGATGACACTTTCTTCTCTGGAACATTGTGTTATTCTTGACATCTGGATACCACACATTCTTGCAGTTGCCATGTCTTTGTTTCCTCCAACTGCTTGACCAGTTTATTTCAGGATGCTGCATGAGACAGGAGAAATAGCCTTTCAAACTAACTGGTTTTCGCAGTTACATGATGCTAACTGCTTACAAGTAACATATAATTTATATTGGCCAGTAGGTCTAATTCTTTCACTGTCTTCACCTCTCACAACATAGATCATCAGAGAATAATCTGTTGAATGTTCCATGCTAAGAAAATGTGGTTCCTTGGAATCTTAGATGTTAATCATTCATGATGGTCTGGAGAACAGAATAAGCTGTAACTCATTGTAGATTCCAGCACCATTGAATAAATAGTCACAAGTTGAGTTTCCAGGAAAACAGACACCATGACACCTTGTACGAAATTTATTAGGAAGTGATTTTATCATAAAAAAAACCTATAAAAGTGAAGGGAGCAAGCAGTGTGGAAGAGCTGGTATTGATGTAGTCACTAGGACATTCTGTTCTATGATGTTTTCCACTGAACTGAAACATTCCCTATAGTAGGAAGGAGACAGCTCATTGACTTGGGAGGTAAACAGAATGTCACATGTCTAGGGAAGTGTAAAATTTGGAGCTTCTTGATGGTCCTTCCCAGTTTTATAGATGGAATAAACTGGGGGAGGGTTCTCAGACCAGCCGAGCTGCAGGTGAGAGGGATTCTCAGACTTTTCAGCTGCAAGCAGTGCACAGGGTTCCAGAATTACAGCTTCTGACAGCTGTCAGTCATGTTGGGGTGGGATTTTCAGTGATACAGCTGCTTTTGAGTCATCCTTGCTCCTGCGATTGACCTCTCACCTAGACTTCTGCTAGTGACCCCCATAAAAACTCCCTGGTCCAAGCAGCGCTTTGTTTGATCTGTTGAACAGGCGGGTTTCTAGGATGATATGAATTAAGAAGAGATAGTTTATAAAGAAAATGACTGTCATGAAAAAAATCATACAGCTCCGGTTATCTAGATGGCTCCACGTTGAATTTATTTGTAATCTTCAAGGAAGAGATAAGTGTGGTAGTTATAGTTTTGATCCCAAAGAAGTAGGTTCCAATGCCAGTGAAGGTAGGGAATGGTTAGTAGGGTGACAGCAAGCAGACAAAGAGCAAAATCTTCCTTCTTCCATGTCCTTACACAGGCTTCCAGCAGAAGGGCTGGCCCAGATTAGAGGTGCGCCTTCCCCATCAAATTAAGCAAAAATCCCTCACAGGTATGCCCTATTTGGGGGTTTTAGTTAATTACAGATGTAGTCAAATTTACAACCAAGAACAGCTGTCACAATAAGAAACAGAAAGAGTTCATAACAATGGAATTTTAAGAAACTGTTGAGAGATACAGTTCTGTATTGAAAAATTACATACTGCAAAAATATGGCTGCTCCTAAAATTAACCCCTGATAACAATACATTCCAATAAAACATCAGTTAAAACACGTTACAATGTATTTAAGCTTTTCTAAGGGTGTAATCTAACCTAAAATATGGAATATAATATATAATCAATCAATCACCGGTATTGATATCTGACCTGAAGAAAAGTGTATGTCACTTTTCTTCTCTCTACATATACAGGTCCAAAGTTTAATTATTAACTTCTAAAAGGAAGTTATTCTGTGACTGTGTCTTGAGCATTAGATACTGCTAAGCCATAAGCAATGATCTGTAGGACTAGGGTGGGTGACAGTTGTGGGGAATGTGGCTTTTTTCATTCTTCAAGACAATAAAGGTCATAAGAATAAAGGGTTGCTGGGTGTGGTGGCACTCGCCTTTAATCCCAGCACTTGGGAGCAGAGGCAGGTGGATTTCTGAGTCTGAGGCCAGCCTGGCCTGCAGAATGAGTTCAGGGCACTCAGAGCTGCACAGAGAAACCCTGTCTTGAAAAACCAAATAAATAAATAAATAAACAAACAAACAGTTTTTTTTTTCCAAATCAGATCTCCTTTCTTGAGAAGGCCATATTGGGGACAGGTATGCAATTTAGCCGTGTGCTTGCCTAACACACAGAAGATCCTAAGTTCTAACCCCAGTACCACATAAAACCAGGAACAATAGCACACACCCACCATCTAAGCACTCAGAAAGCAGAGGCAGGAGGATCAGAAGTTCAAGCTTATACTTGGCAATATCCCAAGTTTGAGGGCATTGTAGGCTACAGTACAGCCCATCTGAAGATACAAACAAAAACAAGGGAAGACAATTTTAGAATGAGAAAATACCAATGTAAAAATGTTTACAATAATTTAAAGAAGGCATGTACACATGTATGTGTGAGTTGTGTTCATGTGTTTCACCACAGAAATTCTTTAAAATTAAGTCGTTGAATTTAATTAGACACTAAAATAATGTGCAATTTGTAGAACAATCAATTTAATTATCAATTAATCCATCTGCCCATATTTATTATTCATAATCCTTTTTGGTAAGTATCAGTTACTTCTGACTGCATGAATTTTGTCTAACTTTTATTTTCTTTTATATACATCATCTATAAACTTTATGAACATCTATCCCTTACGCAAATGGTTTATAAAGATTTTTCAAAGCTAGTTTCTTTCCAAATCAAGAAGAGATCCAGCACTCACAGTTTCTTCAGTTGTATGTGCTTTATTTGACCACATTCTACCAGACGGAAGGCCCAGGCACATGTGACCCTCACTTATGCTCACCTCCTCATCTGCCCAAGGAGACATCTAGAAGAAACTAGAAAGGGAACAATGTCTCCAAGCTTGGCTTCCAGGAACCAGGGGACTTGGGCTTTCTTTAGTGCTGTTGGAGCTTTAGCTCAGAGCAGAATCACTTTGAGTCCTGTCGGAGGATGAGCCACAGATGAAGTCTTGAAGTGCGGTGGGAACTGTGGACTATTCGGCCGGCGAGGCCCAAATGCAGAGAACAGAAGGTCTGACGGTGTCTGGCCTCCCGCTCTTCAGGAGGTGCTAGGCAAGACTGTTGTATAGAGAGGATGGGAGGTCAGGATGCAGAGGCCCAGCAAAGGACTGTGCAGACATAGTGACCGAATTTTCTAAAAAGATGTGTGATGCAGAACAAGGACGAAAGCCAACCTGAACCACAGTAGCGAACCTGAACTACATCCTGTCCCACCCATCCCAAATCAGCGCCCCGGGTTTCTTCCTAACCATGGACTTTCCGCAAATATCCTCATGAATGTGTGAATTCCCGATTTCTTATCTCTACTCAGTGAAGACATTGGACTAGAGGTCACACTTTTCTGACAAAGCTAATGAGTTATAGAGAAGTTGGTTACTGCTAGTCTGGTACTTGGGGGAGGCTGGCCTCAAAGACTCTGTACAGTAGGCTCCAGATCCATGGACTCTATGGAACCCAGTCCTGATTCCATTACCTTGAAGGAGCTACTGCCTTGACAAATGTCTTGTAATGGGCATTAACCCTGTAGTTCTAAGACTTCTCTTTGCATGAAAGATCACTCTAGCACTCACTGGGCCAAGGCTGGGGAGAACAGTGTTACTGGCTCCCTCTCTAGTCACAGGCTCTATGGACATTTGCAGTAGTCCGCAGACTTCATTTGCTCTGACCCTCTGCAATCTTTGCCTTTTATGGCCTGATTCCTGGACCTGACTTTCTGGGCCACCAATGTCTTTCCAACACAACCCACCAGCCTGTCCTCCATCATTAGACTCCAGGGCTTCATTCCAATGAGTAGAGCTGCTTAAGAAAGAGCGCAGAGACTTCACAATAATGTAAGCAGTGTCACCCTGACTAAACCCACCCAAACTCACAACCATAAAAATACTAGTGTTTTGTCTTTTAAGATGGTCAGTAAGGGCAAGTAACACTAGCACACAGGACAGTCAGGGCCAACTCAGTGTGGTCTGACTGTGTTGCCCTTAGTACCTTCTACTGTAGAATAGGTGCAGGAAAGAAAGCAGAAGGTGGTAGCCTACGGAGGGCCCCAGCCCCATGTCAGCTCCATCATCACCCACCTTCACATACAGCTCCAGCATCTTCATCATGCCCACAGTCAAAGGTCTCCACCTGGTCACATTCAGCCAGGGCCTTTTCTGTCCCATTGCACAGGGCGACCTGAATGAGCACGGGCAAAGCTTCATCAACTACTGGTGGATACAACATGGCTATAGGTGTGTGTATGGCCGCTCCACAGCCCAGCTCTCGACATACAACAGCCACATCCTTCATGTCCCAACCATCATCACATACAGTGCCCCAGCGACCGTCCTGTTCCACCTCTACACGTCCTTCACAGGCATGGGGCCCGTTCACCAGACGCACTTTGGGTGGGGGTTCTGCAAACAGAATGGGTGAAATTACATTTAAAAATTACGTACCTGTAAGCAGCTCCCATGTGCACAAGTACGTACAGCAGTGGGGGAGTGAGCCAGGGGCGTGGTTATAGTTAACATTAATTGTTGATTGACAGTATCTGGAATCGCCAAAGGGAAAAGTCTTCAGGCACCATCTATCAGGGGTGACCTAGGTTAGATTGGCTGGTGGCCATGCTTGTGGCACACTACTGATTAGGTTAATTGAACTACGAAGACTTGTCCACTGTAGGTTCTGGTAGTCCCCAGTCTGGGGTCCCTGACTGTATAAAAAGGAGAAAGTTGGCTGTGCCCAACAGTTGGCTCTGGCGATCGTAGACGGTATAGGACCAGATGCTTCAAGCACCTCCCGCCTCAACTTCCCTACCGCGACCTTTGAACTGTCCGAGGGAAACACGTTCCCTCTAAGTCACCTTTGTCATGGCAACGGGAGGAAGCTGAGGCGTGTAAGGGGTGGCTAAAGGCAGCTCTCAGGGCCTGGCGCTGAGGCATGTAAGGGGTGGCTAAAGGCGGCTCTCAGAGCCTGGCTTTGCCTTTCCTCGCCACCACCTCGCTTCGACAGTGTCCCCACCAAGTGGGTCTGGAAAAGAAGTTTTGCTTACATTGTGGAACACAGAGACTCAGGGTTTGTTTTCCCTAAGCTCAAAAAATCTTAAAGGCCCAGAAGGATACGATTAAATCTTCCCTAACGGTAGACTGAGACGCAGGATGGAGAAAGGTCGATTTTGTTTGTTTTGTGGCTTTTTGTTTTAGTGCTCCATGCTTCATTGATGACTTTGCCAATCAAAGGCTTAATGCAAGAACAAAGGAATATCTAAGAAATTAGTAACAGAGGATTGATATAAAATTTATTTAAAATTATGTAGAAATTCTTTTTATAAAACAACACATATTACACACATTGTAGACAGTAAGCAAATGAAGACAACTTATACCAAAAATTTTTAAATGAGATAAAAGTGGTACTTGGGGGAAAACAGTTTTAAATACATTTGTTAGAAAACAAAAAAAAAAAGAAGTAAAATACTTTGGAATAATAAAATGACTTGAAATCTATTGACTTGAAAAGTAAAAAGTATAGAGGAAACCTGAACTAAAAACAAAGAACAATACAATAAGAAGACCTCTGGGAAATCTGGTGAGAAAAGGGGGCCATTCAGGCACATTAAAAATGAGGAGAGAACACAGTCACACACTAGAAACTAAACACCAGATATAGTGCTCACGAGTCTGTGATAAATTTGAAAGTCTAGACTTTCCTATTTTGCTCACATTTGGGGGGGCAAAGAACATAAACTCCTGGTGAAGCTGAATGTGGCGTGTGTGTTTGTGTGTGTATGTGTACAGCGTGTGTGTGTGATGTGTGCAGCGTGTGTGTGCGTGTGTGTGTGTGCGCGTGTGTGCACATGGGGAAGCCAGAGGAGCACACCTAGTTGCTTCCACTAAAGCTCTCTGCTTTCTTCTCTGGAGACAGGGTCTGCTACAGGACCCCACCTTGGCACTTTTCAGCTAGTCTGGTAGTCAGCAAACCCCTGCGGCTGTCCTGTCTCCATTCCCTGAAACAGCCACCTCCAGGTGAGCAGCGAGGACCCAAATACAGGTGTTCAGACATGTTCAATAAGGGATCTTACACACTCAGTCACTTCCCAGCCCTGTAACACTAGCACTATTATAAAGTGTTTAGAAACAATAAAAAACTTGAAAAGGCTAATTAATAAAAAAAGATTTGATAGTAGAGGTAATACTGGCAAGTTGCAAAGACTTCAAATAGTAGATCATTTAAATGTTAATATAAATTCCTGGACACAGAATTTGTGACACCCCCCTGAAACCATTCTTATGAAGCTAATGTATCCCTAGGAAAGAAAACCAAAAAATCTCATGCATTAATAGTATGCAAGGGGCAAAGCATATGCCTGGCATGCTTTAAGTCCTGAGTTTGATACTGAGCACTAAAGAGATAAAATAAACAGATGCAAACATTTGAAATAAAATATTAGCTAGCTATATAAAGCTACTGCCTATGAAGACTAAGAAGGGCTAATTAGGGAAGCTAAGTAATGGCCCATATTAGGAAACTCATTAATTCCCTCCGATAATGGATTAAAGAAAAAGAAGGAAAAAGATCACACAACCATCCAGTCCTATTCACGCGGTGGCAATGCCGTACAAAGCTTCACAGCTCTGGCTTCAGTTTCATCGTTGTACCTGTACGTGGCACTCCTTTTAAGTAACCTTGGACAAACTGCTTAACTTAAATTTTATTTCTTTGTATAATAATTACACTGCTATGAAAATTAAATAGTTAAAAAATTGAAATCCAGGAATCTGTTTTGTTTGTGGGTTTTTTTTTTTTACTTTTGTTCTTAACTACAAAGGCTGGAGGGCGCTCCTTAGTCCGAATGAGCCCCACTGAGCTCGAGGAGGCAAGAGCACCCCCCTTTTCCTGTGGACATCTGCGTTCTCTCTCCGTGTTTCACCTGGCCCACCCCTCACACTGACCTGATCCCGATTTTACACACACGTGATTCAGTGACGAGCAGACAGGAAGGAAAAGCATTGGGCAGAGTTGCTGTTGTTGAGACTGTTGGGAGTAGAGAAGGTCCCTCAATGGAGCTCCTGTGCCCCGAAGGATGGGGGAGTACAGGGAGAAGGAAGAAAGCCTGGGCTTGGCATAATGCAAGCCGCACTCTGGAATGAGACACTGAATTATCCTACCTGTGACGTTGAGTGGTACCACCTGACTGCGCTTCCTCCCCCAGCCATTGTCAGCCTCGCAGGAGTAGTTCCCAGAATGCCCTGCGGTCAGAGTGAGCTTAAAGGATGCTTTTCCTCCAGAAGGTGCTGAGGTGTTGCCCAGAGCGGTATTTTCATGATAAAACCGGTACAGAACGGGAGGAGATGCTCTCTTGTCTTCACACCGAAGCTCCGCCACATCCCCGATGAAGGGCAGCACCCCAGGAACACTGATGGAGAGGAGAGGGCGCAGCACCGGGACTGAGGGAGCACAGACAGTGTCAGCAGCAGTGACGTGACTCGCGGCCCACCTCGCTTTCACTCCAGCTCTTCTACTCCAGCCCCGTGTGTTCTTTCCCTACGCCTCACCGCGTGGTCTAACCCTCCAGGGAAGCATCCGGCAGAACCGCTATGCACTGATGAAGAACTCTGGAGAGCAAGCTTCTGATTTTACCACACTCTACCCCGTGCTCCATGCCTGTGCTCTTTAGGCTCCTCTGCCACTGCTACCACTTTTACCTCCACCATAAAAACAGAAGCCCTGCTGTGATGGGACAGCGTCCCAGCCTCTTCATGCCTTGCCCATACCTTGTCACATCTTGGAACATCCCGGGCTGGGAGCTGCTGGCTCCCGATTGGGAATGCTGCTTACCTTTGACTGTGACATTCACCACCGCACTCCGGACAAGGCCGTAGCTGTTGTCAGCCGTGCAGTAGTAAGCCCCGGCGTGGCTTTCCCTGACAGGAGTGATCTCCAGCTCTGCTCTCTGGGAACGCTGGCTTTTCCTCCCCACACTTTCCTCTGTGTCCTCTCTGTGCCAGGAGTACGTGATGAGCCCAGTGCCTTTAGCCACAGAACAGACAAGGACCAGCGTCTGCCCCTCAACTCCCCAGCCCTTTGGAGACTGGATCTCCACCGAGACTTGAGACACAGGAATCCCTGTGAACAGAAGACAGTTGTTAAAGATTGGGTGGGGATCAAGTATCACCTGCTGGTAATTAGGGCTGGTCGATTCTCTGGTTCCCCGGGAATGGAACACACTGAAGGGCATTGTACAGGACAGCTCTGCAGTCTGATGCCCAGTAACAACCCTATTCCGCCCTTCCGGCTCTTTTCCCTACCCACTCTCCTGTGACCACACCCCACAGCGTTCTGCCCTGTCTTGGCTTCCTTGTGAACTTGAGGTAGCAGGAATCTCTATTTCTGAGTCTCAGTTTCTCTCGATAGCACTTGAATCATCATAGTAACCTCCCGGAGTTCTCAGGAGATTGGCTGAGATGCAGCCATCAAGCAGCCTCTCTGACATCAGCACCATTCAGCAGTGCCAGCTAGTGACTCTGCCAGCCCCTGGCTGGGTAGGGAGTGACGCAAAGTACCTAAAAGTGCATGCACTGGGGCCAGAGCAGCCACGTTTCAATCCCGGATCTGTATGCTGGGTTCCCTGAGGCAAGTCTCTGAGTCTCAGTGCCCATTTTACAGACACTACTCGTAAAACTCTTTCACAGGCCACTGTGAGGACAAAATGTTCAACTGCTCCGAACAGCATCCTGCATGTGGTAAACCTCCCTGTCTTCTGCAGCTGTTCGTGAAAGTCAGAGAGTCTAGAACATCACAATAGCTTTAGCTGGGATCTGGAATATAGTAATTCGTTTTACAAGTGATAGGCTGATACTGTCATTTAAAATAGTAGTATTTGTGCCTTCCTTGCACCATCTCCTAACTGGGGGTCTCTCCTCATGGATAGAGGCTATCCTTCATTGACCTCTTAGTTTGCCGAATAAAGTTACTATTGTTGCTTTTCTGAAGGGGAGGACAGCGTCATCAGAAAATTAGGGTTCAAGAGCCCCAGTGAGCCACGGTAGCTTCCACCCTACGGGATAGAGGGGAGCCTGCAGTCTGGCTGGTGCCCTTGCTCTCCCTGCCTGATTTCACCCCATTGACCCAACCCAATGATGCTCACTCTCCACGTCTATATAGGACCGGTAACTCCGCCTCAAGACACTGTGAGATGCTGTCATCGCCTCACACCAGTAATTCCCCGAGTCTTCTTTCCATATTGCTGAGATCGTAAACTTTGCCGAGTTCCAGCCCGACTGCAAAGTGTGACCATCTTTGTAGAAGGAATACCGTAACTGGGTCGTTGCCCTATCTGAAGGGAGCCAGGTGTTGCAGGACAGGGTCACTGAACTCCCCTCTATGGGCTGCAGTGAACTGGCTGTCAGTCCAGGGGCTGGAAACAGTTCTGGAGGGGAGAGTGAATAGGAAGAGACGACTTGTTAGTAGTGGACTCCATGGTCCTCCAGAAGTGCCTAGTGAGCAAGTCACACATCCATACCCAGGACACACAGCCCAGCACCATTTACCATCCCTGGTTAGTGCCATATGCCCTGTACCCTGGCTTTCCTACACAGGCACTCTCCTTCCTAGACACGTCTACTCGAGGAATGATCCCGTACCTTGGACATCAAGTCGCAAATGTCTTGATTCTTCTGGTATGTCTATAAATAGGAAAAGTTTCCTATCTGCCTTACAGAAGTAGGAGCCACTGTCACTGAATTTTGCGTTTGCGATGGTGTAGCTTGAAGCACTGCTGTAAGTAGCTATGTGAGATCCATCCTTGAAGTACTTTAATCTCTTTATGTCATGATTCTTTTCCCCTGTGCAGCTTATCGTTACGTGGTCTCCTTCGTAAGCACGGTGTGGCATGCTGATGCTCAACCAGTCTGCAAAATAAGCAAGGAGGCAGAGAGTAACGACACTGACCCTGCCTGGATACTCCCGGGAAGGGAGAGGTTCTACACTTGTCTAGAAGCTGGGGACCCACAGTTCCCCGGGAACCTGCTGGCTCTGCTAACTTTCTGACTCAGCACAGTGAGCTCTACTTTGTAAGTGACATTTCTTCTAAACATGAATGTATGTTAATGGATTTTTATGCTGTTTACATCAGCTCCCAATAGCTGGACTAAATATGGATTTAAAATGAGTCTACCAGCTAAGTGAAATAGCACAGGTCTAGAATTAATGCTATTCATGAAGTTGAGGCAGGTAGGTGACAGATTCAAAGCTACAGATTAAGTTTAGGGTGAGCTTGAGTGATTTAGTAAGACTCTGGCTTGCAATAAACAATAAAAATGGTTGGGTATAAATAGCTTAGTAGTGGAGTCCCTTGTCTTCATGTACCAGACCCTCGGCTCCAGCCTCAGCCCTCCTTTTACCCCCACCAGAAGATTCCAGTTGTATCTACTTACGCCTATTGACATGGCCTCAGGTCCCCCATGGCAGCTATCACTAACTCCCTCTGCTTGTCTAATACTTTGGAAACCCTGTTTAGTAGCACAATAAACTCAAAGTCCTTTCCTTGCATGTCATTCTCCCTAGATGAAACTAACAGGGCACTGAGACCTAAGATCTAGAATCTCCAAGTCTCTGGAGTCTACTAAAAACTCATTCAGAGGTGCCTGCAAATCATTGCCATGCTTGGCCCAGTAGGATCCCCATGAAGAAGGTGCGGGGCCCTCGCTTCCCCCCATAGGACAGTGGTCATCTGGACTGAGGAGTATCTTGGTGTTTGGATCTGTCCACAGCAAGAGGAGAAAACACAAAAATTAGGCCCTGCTCTGAACATTGGCTCCACATCACTAGACATTGTCCTACATGGTGATGCAGGAAGACATTTTCCTGTAAATATTTTAGGAATAAAATCAGTTTGATTAATGAAATATTTGAGAAGTAAGATTTATGAGGCCAAATTCAGAATGATCTAAGGGGTAGGAGACAGAGAAAAACTGTAACAGTTTCCCATGAGAATGAAATAAGGTTTTAACCGTAAGACACTTGGGTTCATGGTCTCGATTTCTGAGATTTTCCTAGAGATGTAGTTCCTTGAATCGACTACAATTATGGATATGTACACATTTTATACTAATTCTGAGAATTTACTGGATCCCACAAGGTTGCTCTAGAGACACCTCTCCCCACTAAGTAATTTTAAAACATATTTTTTGTTTAAAATTGCAAACCTGAGTATGTATACAAGCATCATCTCCTCTGTGTATTGTAGAATGAATGTGTTCTCAAAGGCTTAACCAAAGAAGAAAGTCTAATTTCCCAGGCTACCATGAAACTAAGTGTTTTCTTAATTCCATTATATTAAAATCCCAATAAAAAAGGAAAAGCACATTAGGCATTGGATTGTTTCGATCCCAGTAGAGCAGCTCCTTGGCCTCTTGCTGTTTCTCTGCTATAAATACATCGTCGTCAGTCATGGCTTCCGGTGAGGATGAGGATGTCCCCCAGTGACTCCAGGAATGGCTTTCCCTTTGCACTTACTCCCTTTCCTGTCTGAGGGGCCAGCAGCAAGTAGGAAATAATTCATTGTCTTGAGAGGGTCAGGATGGTGCCTCTTCCCACCCATCACCAGAAGGCAAGCAGAGGGAGTGGTGGCTCTGTGCACCCGGCCGCAGAGGACCAAGGGAGGAGAGCGAGGTGCTGGATCTGACTCTTCACCGCACCCTGGCTAAGATCCCTGCAATCTCCTGCTAAAAGGCCTCACCAGGCGGGACCCCCCATGCCCAAGAGAGTGAGGTCCCAGAGAGACAAAGGAATGAAGAGAAGAGTTGCTTACCGGATTGGATGCCGACAGGAGCTGTGAGGGAAAAGAGGCAGAGAGATTACACAGGACTTAAGGTCTTCACACTACGTCAAAGGCTATGGCCCTCTGGGGATTCCCAAGCACTCCCCGCCCCCCATCGTTTTCTTCCTGTTTCTTCCTCCTTCCCTTTCACCTTCCCTCCTTCATTCCCTGTTTTTCCCTCTGCCTTCTCCCACTCACAAACAACACTCCTATAGAATCCAAGATCCATTTTTATATTCCTAGCATGTTATAAGCAGACCTTGGCCATCCCCAGAAGTTTGTGTTTTGCAGACAAATTTTCAAGAACTTCATTTATTATCTCCTCTTCCATCTTCTTTATTTAAATATTTTTATTTTTAATTAAAATATAATTACATTTTTTTCTCCCTTTCCATTCCTTCTTCCAACTTCTCCCATATACTCCCTTTCAAATTCATGGCTTCTAATTGTTGCGCATATGCTACATGTGCATGCGTGCTGTGTGTGTGTGTGTGTGTGTGTGTGTGTGCGTGTGTGTGTATACACCTATATACAATACAACCTGCTCAGTCCATATAATGTTACCTGTATGTATAGGCTTTCAGGGATGACCAGTTTGAATTGGATAGCCAATTTGAGAGCTCTATCTTTAAACTGTCCAGACTATTTTTCTTAAGAGAAACCACCTACACAGGAGCATCCTAGATGCCAGGAAGGGTCACAGAAGAAACCTGGGGTCTGCTCATACTTCATGGACATCGGTTCTCCTTCCCCTGCATTATACACCTACTACTGTGTGTGGGACTGTGTAAGGCGGTCTTATGTATAGGCACAGTCCATGGTATCCACTATGGTTAGCCAGATCTATGCAATGTCTATGTTTATGAAAATAAGAGTTCAGCCAAAAATGGTGACTCTTGAAGTAGAGTCTGAGCCTTGGGGTGTAAAACTCATGTAAGCTGTGCAAGACATTCACTCTAACAGAAAAATCATTTGAAGCCCTTTCTATGAAAATCTACTGTTTTCCTAGAGTTCAAACAGAAATAATAGAGACAAATCACCAGCCTTTAGTAAGGACACACACACACACACACACACACACACACACACACACACACTCACACACACACACCCCTTTTCCTTTTTCTGGGAATCTTGCTATGGTCAGTTCCCATTTGCATTATTCCTACCAGTACTGGATCAGAAGCAGAAACCCAGCTTTCCACACCCCAGCAGAGAGACAGATGCTCAGGAAGAGTGTCTGGGAATGCCCAAGCAGAGGTGGTTCTACCCTGGCACCACCCCAGGTCTTTTCAGCATCCTACATACCCAGGGCCAGCAGCAGTGACCACAGCAGCATGAGGCTGGAGGCAAGCAGTTCCCTTTGTGACCGGTGCAGCTCAAGTCCTCAGAGCAGATGAACTAGGGACTAGGACAGAGCCCTAGTCTGGCAGGGATCTTGCTGAAATAGAAAAAGGAAGTGGCAAAACTGTCTGTTAATCAGTCCATACCCAACCCAATGGGTGCTGCAAAAGCAAATGTCCTTCCTCTTTATCAAGTTGCTTAGATATGCTCGCACTGGTGTGAAATGATTCTTAATGTGTGGGATGCCTTCCTTTTACAGATACGCTTTCCATTGCGTTTGACTTTACAGAGACTACTGACTTCTGGGCCCACTGAGATTCAACTCAGGTTCTAGGTAGTTTTCAGAAATAAATCTCCTTAAGAGACAGCTCCTAATAATAGGCACCATCGCCAGTCCTGGATTGACTCCTCTCCAGAGGTCGATCCAGACTAGGCAGCAGAGAAAAGAAATGCTGACAGGTTTTACATGTTATTGTGGGGCAGTATGCATGCTCTAAGGACCCAGAAAGACCCATTCCTGCTCATCACTTCTGTTCAGGAGATCTTTTAGCCAGATCCAGATAGGAATTAAGAAGCAGGATGAACACAGCATGGCCACTTGATGCTTTATCTCTGAACTGTAGTAGAGTGGTCTGAAGGGCCTTGACTCACACAGGAAAGAGTCGTCTTACACTCCAAATAACGCAGACGGATATAGGTGCATGTGTGGGGTGGGTGGTGAGGCAGAGAGGGATTGTATAACTAGCTGTGCTAGTTGGTTTCATGTCAATTGACATAAACTACAGTTGTCTGGGAAGAGGGACTGTTGACTGAGAAAATGCTTCCATAAGAGTTGCCTGTGGGCAAATCAGTAGTACATCTTCTTGATTGTTGATTAATGTGGGTGGCAGAGATCACTGGGATCGTACCAACCCTGGGCAGGTAGTACTGGATTACTTAAGGAAACAGACTGAGTAAGCCACGGGATCACGCTGTCAAGCAGTGTTCCTTCCTGGCTTTTGCTTCATTTCCTGCCTCCAGGTTCCTGTCCTGACTTTCCTTCATGACGGACTGTCACCTGGAACTGTGAGCTTAAACAAACTCTTTCCTTCCCAGGCTGCTTTTGACCATGGAGTTTCATCCCAGTAATAGAAACTCTAAGACCTAGATATATGCACAACTTCAGGACTGGTTGCAGGGACTTTGAGATTAGCATAGACTGCATTTCCCCAGTGGTACACCCTACAGCTCTCTCTACAGTTTTAATGAAACTCGCATGCATTGCTTCACTGTCTCAGTCTGGAGAAGACTGCTAAGGGAGTGCGAAGAATCTCTAAAGTAATGGTAATTTTTCTCTGTGTTGAATGATATTCCGAGCTTCAGGGAGCAGATCCAATTAATGTAAAATAATTCCCCTCTCAGGCCACCAGGACCTATGTTTGGAAAAGAAGTAGTTTTCTGGCAGTATTTGAGGGGGCAGATTTCTGTGTGTTCAGCTCCCAGTGGTTAGTCTCTTACGCTGACACCCTGCACCTACCAAACCCAAGTCACTGATACGGTCATAGAAAGAGTTTTCAAAGAGTGGAATGGAGTGGTTTGTCTAAAGCAGTGGTTCTCAGCCTTCCGAATGCTGACACCCTTTACAATACAGTTCCTCATGCTGTGAGGAACTCATGAACCCCAGTTATTCCTACTTCATAACTGTAATTTTGTTGCTGTTATGAATTGCAACATAAATATCTGTGTTTTCCAATGGTCTTAAGTGACCCCCCCGTGAAAGGGTAAATTGACCCCTAAAGAGAGGGTGGAAACTGTTGCTCTAAGTCTAAGGCTATGAAGTCAAGCTTAGAATATGTGTTATACCTGGATAGTAGATGATAGAGCCACAGTAAACAACTTTTGGCCCTACACTGGGCTTGGCCATTGGCTTAAGTGCATGGAGAGATTCAGGGCTAGTCATAGACACAAAAGGATCACTGTTCCGACACATCCTGTCTTTCTCTAGGACCGAAGAGCCAGGAAAACACACATGGACAAGCACAAAGGCTCTAAAAACAGATGACACGTTGAGCTATCAAGAAAGTAGAAGTCATTTGAAATAACAGTGTCCAAGCACCACTCCTGAGAATGGAGACACCCAAGGCTCTACATTGTGAGTCTTTCTTCTGCTACCAGGCAGGAAAAATGGACATATGCCATCGAATTGTTCCTGCCTGGAAAAACCTAAGCCCTGCCCTCTCTCCTCTCTCATTCTCTCCTCTCCTTTCCTAACTTTGAAGATCTATCAGTTCTACAACAGTTCCAAGGTAATACTCCAGTCAGCTAATTTAGACTCACAAAATAAAACTAAAACAAGGCCAGCTCAAGCAGGACAGAAGCTTCTCTCTACCATGTTTGGCAGGACTATGGGTAGACATAGACACTAAGATTCCAGGAAATGTGCTCAGGAGATAGGTAGATAGTATTTATCGCACAAGCATAAGGATCTGAGTTTGGAACTCTAGCACCCACTTAAGATTCCAGGTGTGTCAGTAATCCCAGCACTGGGGGGCGGGGGAGTGGAGACAGTGAGTCTCAAAAGCTTGCTGGCCAGCTAGTCTAATCAGTCAATAAGCTCCCGTTTCAATGAGAGATTCTATCTTGTTTGTTTGTTTTGTTTTGTTTTTTGAGACAGGGTTTCTCTGTAGCTTTTGGAGGCTTTGGGTCCTGGAACTCACTCTGTAGACCAGGATGACCTCAAATTCTCAGAGATCCACCTGTCTCTACCTCCCAAGTGCTGAGATTAAAGGTTTGCATCACCACCTTTAACAACAACAACAATAATAATAATGATCATAATGTGGAGAGTAAGAAAGACATCTGATGGTCAAGTTCTGACTTACAAATACAAGTATGCATGTGCACATGCACACACACGTGCATACACACACACACACACTCCAAGAAACATGGTAATGTGTATTGCTAATTAGATGTAATAACTTGCCATGTCCTCTGCCATTAACATCTGACTGGGTTCTATAATAAGGCCCAAGTTTAGGGCTTTAAGAATTAAGTAATAAGGCTCTCTCAGCCTCAAGCTCCATTTTTGTGAGTTTGGAGTCCCATGGAAAGATTTTCAAAGTAAAGGAAGTGGCCAACTTTTTTTGTGTGTGTGAGAGAGAAGAGAGCATGCAGACTACACAGTACTCTGTGCTGTCCTGAAGTCCACTAGTCCTTTTTTTTTTCTTTTCCAGTTTAAATTTAGATAAGAAACAAGGTTGCTTCACAAGTCAGTTCCAGGTCCCTCTCTCTTTCCCTCCCCTCCTCCTGTTCCCTCCCGTGGCCAACTTTTAAAGAGAAGACTTAGAACCCAAAGAGAGACTTACACGCCAGGCTTTGGGTGTCTGGTAAGAGTAATCAAGGCTTCCCTCAAGGTAGATAAAATTTTTAAAAAATGTTTGATAATTTCATACATACATACAATGAGGGAATATTTATAGGTTTTCCCTTAGGGTCCATGACCTATATAACCACATATGTGGATAAAAATTTTGCTTTGGGACTCACAAATGTTCTGATTGATTAACTGATATGGTACTAGAAACTTTATTACAATGAGTGTGTGCCAAGTACAGCATTCCATGGTCTTGAGGGGCTTGTCTGGATATCGGAAACAGAAAAGGTGGGCAAACAAATGACCCCAGTTGCCTGGAACCGATATGGAGGTTGTGGACTTTCTTTTGGACTCATGTATCCTAGACTTGGACCTGAAACAAAGAAGCTTTAAGGCTGAAGTCTTCAGAGGCAGCCCAGAGGAAGGCTGGCATTTCCTTAGCCAGAGAACACAGGCACACACAGCTCAGTAAGACACGGATTGTGAAGCAATAACCATGCTACTTTAAACATCACAGCAGAAGTGGTAGCTTATGCCCACAGGAGAAGTAGAGAGGAAAGTCTAGGGCTCTCCATGATTAGTCAGTGGCTGCCCACTCTCTCTTAGAATGACACAGTCAGAGAAGGCTTGGGAGGAACTTGCTGGCTGGTTAATTGGAGGCTGTGTGAGGAGCTGGGAGTTTCCATTTATGTCTAATTGTGTCTTCTCTCCCCCTTTGTGTTTCTTCTATTGCACACTGTAGCAAAAATTCATAATACAAAATTACAGTTTTAAGCATTTTTAGTGGATGGTTCTTGAGCATTGAGCACATAGGTACATTCAACACCACCATCCATCTCCAGAATGTTTCATCTTCCCTAAATGAAGCACTACCCATTAAACATTAACTTTCCATGGCTCCTCTTCCCAGGCCCTATAAACCACCATTAGTAGAGATTTTCATACAAGTGGAATTGTACAGTGTTTGGTTTGTGTATGTGCCTGCTTTATTTCACTTACCATAGTATCTTGAGAATTCATCTGTATCGGAGGAAATGTCACAATTCTCTTCCCTTTTAAGTCTGAACAATGTTCTGTTGTGTGTATATATACACATATATGCCTTGCTTTGTCCATTCATGTGTTGCTAGGTACGTCAATTGCTTTTTTCCCCTAATGAGTAGTTATAGTGACTACCTTTCCATGTGATCATTGGTCATCTGTATCTTATTTGAAGAAATAACTATTCAAATATCTTTCTCACTAATAAAGTTGGTTCCTTATAGAACATAATTTAAATCAAATCAGAAAGTGGTTGGTTAACTCCCATACCGTTTGTATCCTCTCTAGTCCAGTGACTGTATCTTGCCTGCTAGTTTACTGTTGTAGCTTGCAGAGTTCACAGCTGGATATCATTGATAATTACTTTTCTCCACTGGTAGTATGCATAACACCTTCCAACACTATGTAAGCTAGCCACTAGGGATGAACCTCAGGGTTAGCACTAGCCCAATTTTCTCTGTCCTATGACTCAAATATATGATGTCTTCAGCAATGGATTATTACTGTCAAGTTCTGGAAGGTTATTGCTTCCCCCTATAATGCTTGGGGTGTCTATGGGACTCCAGTGGCTAACAGCTCCAAAGGACAAAAGAAACAACTCATCCCTGAAATATTGCATTTTTTTGCTAGCCTATGATGTCCAGTAGAGATAGTGTATCCCTGTTGCAAGTTAACTCCATTTTAACTATTTTTATATGTATATATACT